GACAAAATATTCTCAAATTCTATTTTGTTTATCGAATAATATTGTTAAGTTTATTATATTCAAACAACGTATGTAAATAAAATAACTTATTATTTATCAAAAACAAACTCTGTCAGATATAAATTGATTTCGACCAAGAATGTGTTAGCAAAAATACTTTTACCCAGCCTGACCTTACGCCATTTTGAAAAGGCGGGCCCTAGATTACCAATAAATCTTTGCCAGTTTATGCAATGTTTTTTACGATATATAGCTCAAAGAGCTGACTACTGCAATCAACAAAATAAAGTATCAAAAATCATATCTTAACATGATAAATACCATACACACACACCTCTCACGTAATCTAGCCTAAAATTGATGTGTATGCACATAACGTTAGCCAAATTGTCATGTGAGACTTTGTTTTTGTTTTTCATTTTAATGTTTTTTTGCCACTATCTATAGCATACTTCCGTTACCTTGCCTTGGCTAGATGTGCAACGTTCTAATCCAAGACATTTTCGATAGTTTGTGTGTTTGCACTAACTTTGTTTACTATTCTGTGCTAATAGCTATAAAACTTTATAGGTCTAACCGTTTAAGCACTAAAATGCCTAACAGATTTTCTTTTATGACTGTCCATTTATAGGTCCTTTGTACAGTCAAATTAAAAAGAATATTTAACTTTCCACTTTCACAGCTGCAAGTATTATTACAGTAACTTTATGACACGTAAATTACTAACATCAAATATAAAAACATGTGGAAAGTTTGTTGGCAAATGCATCTGCATGTACACACACATGTAATGAAATGAATGTGTTAAACCTATATGTTTGTTTTTTTTCTTCACTATTCCAGAAACACTTTGTAACAAATCAATGACACAAACTATTCAATCCTATACGTCTGGTTGGAACGTGAAATATTTCACTTTAAGATTCTAATGGTAGTGTTTTTATTTTGTAAAGGATACAATACCGAGATATGTGGAAAACACACAAGTACACGGAGTAACTTAGCACGATTAAGATTTGTGTTAATCATACATACAGAAGGAAATGTGTAAAGAATACTTCAGGGATGGAAAAAAAGAAATCCAAGTGCAAACTGCACTCTATCAGTTCTTGGACAGACCCAATTTTGCGAGATTTTATTTTCAATCTCGTTTCTGCCTTACGAGATTTAAGAGCGACAATGTGTCAATCGGAACATCGCTCGGACTTTTACGTCGTACCTAGGAAAACACTCCCGAATGCAATAGTAGTAATATTACATCGATTTGACGTGTTTTGGGGATTCGCCTCAGGCGAATAACGTGTATTATCACGCGAACAGAGCCGGCAAACTTCGTAAATTATACCTTATTCGCTCTTTTTAATAAAATTGCTGTGCTACAATCAAGTTTCACTACAAAAACATTTTTTGTTCATGAAAACTGAAATAACCAATGAATTAAGAATCTTTATGAAAATACTCGCCATATCTAATATAAAGATAAATTTGGGAGTAATGTGTATAGCTAACCTACGAAATCGTCCAAATTCTTTCTATCCCCTTTTTGAAATTACGCGTGTTACGCAACATACTCAAGTAAAATTACTACTATTTTGTGGTTGTCATTTGGTGTAAATGATTTTGTTTGTATACTGTTTGTATTCCAAATTACTGTTGGTTATAGTAGTTTCAACTTCAGTCTTTCAGTTTCGACTGCCACACTGGCATGAGTTATCGTTAATTACATAGTTAGTGTTAATTTTTAGTTTGAAATTTGAGTAAGTGATCGAAAATAGTCTAAACATTGTTTCTAATTGCATCCGGGTGTTTTTCTAGCTACGACTGAAAAACCCGAATGATGTTCCGATTAGCAAAATGTGCTCACTGAATTCAATATATTGATACATTCGGCGTGACGTAACGTTACATCCACAGCACATACCGATTCGTCACATTAGCAGCGGGTCAAACAACGCTTTGCTGTGCGCTTGTTGTTCAAGGTCCAGTGTTAACAAATCCCTTATTTCTACAGTCTAACGTACAAATTATCATTTTATATGATTCCAAAAAAGGCCATAGAACCGATATTTTAATATATTGGTAAGACAGTAACTGTATCAAGCTTAATTAAAGTAGACACTTTCAAACGAAATAAAAAAAATGGCAATAGGCTAAAACTTTCAGTTAGTGTCACACTATAACAAAAGTCATACAAGACACTAGTGTGTTTGTCCCTCTCACAAAATGGCAGAACGTTGCTAAGGGTGAGTGCTCGCCCACATCAGACGACCTTCGACTCTACTAATAGAGTTCAGCGTAGGCGCGTCGCATCGTCTGCTCTGGATTATTTGTACGAATCTAAGGGCGCGTATTTTTCTAGCGAAACGCGCGGATTTTGCACATCTTATTTAAATGACAAAATTTTTTGGTAAAAAACTATGATTACATAATATTATACATTTAGATATTTTAAATAAAATCTTTGAATTTTATCTTATTCCCAGTTGCCGGTAACTAGATTGTTTGACTAAAGTTAAAAAAATAAGCATTGTGAAATATTTATATATCGCCCTCTCTTACAAAAAGCTTTAATATGGATTTTCAGCGATATTATTGTCGAATATCTCAGACGGGTTACTGTGAAAAATACATCAGAAATTATTTTTCTTTAGCGCGTGTTAACAAAAATGAGCCTGGTAGGATTAATCAATTTTGCTATCTTGTTTTGCTTTTCACTAGGCCTAGAGGGCAACGGAACAGTCTACATAGATTAGATCCAACTTGTTGAAATCCTCCGATTGCTATTTCCCGGTGTTAGTTTGAAGACCTTCTGTGATATTTTTAGGGTTTAAAACCATAAGTGAAACATGAATTCTGAACATAGATAGCGTCATTAAACACACGATTTTTGGTAACAAGCTAAGTTTGTTCAGCCAAGAGAAGTCACTTTCCTCACCGTAATGTTATTGGTTTATTTTATTGTATGACAGGCGACAAAATATATGTAACTGAAATTTTACGTCAAATTCCGTTAAAAAAAGAACCATGTGGACCTCACCAAGTTGGTAAGAGTTTATAATTTCGATATAAAAAGAAAATCTTTCACTCACAAACTTGGTTTCAAAATAAAAAACAACTCTACTGAATTTTTAACAATATGTAAAAGAACAATGCACGCGTGTTTTGTTACTAGTAATTAATTTTAATGATAGATGGTGAATAGAAGTTAAAATTATAGCACTTATTAACAGAGCCATACAGAGGAATATGTGACGAACAGTTTTATAACTTAAGCCGATCAAGATTTGATCAATAAATATAAATCAATTCATAATAAGCATCATGTAATTACTTATATATAAAAAAGTCGTTATTGCTCCGATATCTAAAGCTACGTCAAATAGCACACTGTGAGGCAGTCTTTTAACGCCAAAAACTAACGCTCTAATGGACAACTGCCAATAGTTGCCGTTTGGTTCAAGGCTCTGTCTGTTACATAAACAGATGGCAAATAAACAGCGCTAAACATTTTACTTATCATTCTTACCTGAAGTTGATTCATCAGTTTTTATGTTAGATATCTGAATATTCAGCACTTGAAATGATAAAAGTAAACGTTTTGAAAAAATTAAAAATCCCAAAATAAAACTTTCATTTGTACTTCGAAAGAGAATTGACGCATCAGTCTTTTCGAATTTCTGAAAAAACGTTTCAAATCACACTTTGACGATTGAAGTAATAAATTATTTCAAGAAGATTAAAACCGTTGAAATAGTTTGATCAATGTTGTTTTAATTAAAGAGTTTAATGTTTTTATCATAGAATTCTGTCCCTTTTTTCACGGATCAAATAACTAAGTTTTGTAAATTTAAACTTAAAAAACGTTCTTTCTTAGTTTCTACGATGTTTACGGAAATCAAAAGTTTTGTGTATCACACTTTGTGGAACTTGGAAATTTCTTCAAAGTTGAATAATTACTTGTCAGACGAATTACACGCACTCAGGATCAGCTGTTACTGTTAGGAATGAAAGTTCAAACTACTACTACTTTAACTAGACTTGGAGGTTATTTTTAACAAAGGGGGTGAAAAGGCTGAACTGACTAAGCCACCCCATAGTACTATGGAATGATTCAAAGTCACTACTAACACAGGCCTGCGAATTTTGTTATTAATAATGGATTCTCCATAATAAAGCTATGCAGACTTCGAAAATAATATTCATTTTTTTCTATCACGTAAGGATTTTTTTACAAACCGGGAATAAAAAAAAATTACTTAAATCAAATTATTATTTCGTTTACCACAATGAACATTTATTACTATTATATTTATTAACAAAAATACAAACAAACTGAAGAAAAGGGAAGAACATTGATGTCAAACGAATATGATTCCTCATTCATCCCGATCTATGTCTTTTAGTCTCAAAACTACGTGTTGTGGTCTTTCTTTTATGTATTGCATTATGACGTTTTGTGAAAAATCTGTACGTGATGGAGAAAAATGGATATCATTTTGGGATTCAGCGTACAGGAATTACTTTAGAAAATATAAAAATGTCAAGACAATAAAACCATCGCAATCCTGTGTAATCTTATATTGATGATTACGAAAACTAAAACATTAAAATCCGAAACAAAGAAATGCTTTTCCGGGCATTTTGAAGTTCTAGTTTTGCTTCATTAGGTAAATGAAATACGATGGCAACAACCCACATTTTTGTTGTTGTTGTTGCACAATAAAGCTCTAAAACGTACTGTAGTTTGTAACTCAATCGACGATAAAATTGAATTTTCCAAGTTCCAGTCTTTTAAAAAGTGAAACCAGTTTCTAGAACTTATAAGCATTTCCACCGGAGCCAACGACAAAGATACATAATTTGGGGGAAATGTACTTTTCTAAACTCACATTTTAATTATCGTTACATTAATTGTGCATGTTAATTATTTACCCTAAAACATTAAATTTTACAAGTTCTCTAAATTAACTATTTGTTGAAAAAAGAACAGTATCACTTACAAATCCATAACCTCGACTCTTGCCAGTTTGTCTATCTGTAATCACTACAGCCTCTTCAATTTCACCGAATCCTTCGAAAAACTGTCGAAGTGACTTGTCAGTGGTGTGGTAGGGAAGACCCCCTACGAAGATCTTAGTAAACGTAGTGTCCTTTTGTTGAATTCCAGTTGTAACGGGAAGGTGGGGGTGAAGTTGAAAGTAAGCTTCAGACATTATGGCACCGGTTCAATTACAGCAAAAGCGTACAGCTGTCCGTTATCAAACCAAAGTAGAATTTCGTTTTGGGCGGACACAATATTTTGTCGGCTTTCTCAATTTGTAGTGGTCGGCAACTTATTTTATCATAAAACAAAAACAGAATCACAGAATAACCATCTCCCAAGATACCCGTATGTACGAAAAGTCTATCCTAACGACTTAGTTGCCTGACAAAATTCGACGTAGAGGAAAGTTCATACAACAGTCCTCTAAGCTGTGTACAACACGAACTTCGTTAGCTGTTTGTACTGGATGACTCTCTCCTTCCTGACACAGCGAATGACGCGCCTCCTCGGTCTTTCTGTACACAACCAATGAGAGGCCGCCAAAATCCCTCAAGCACGCATACTCCTTATGCAGAGCAATCGCACAATAGAAAACTCATGCATGCGCTGTATTACTCAGCAACATGTGATATTTTGTTGTTGTTTTTCTAATTTTCAAATACATTACGAACCTTCTAGAATAATTATTAAGAACTAACGCATTAGTGTCCTCAAAAAGGGATGATTATATGATTTCAGGTCTGTTTTTGAACCATATAATTTTTCTTGTCAAACATACATAAGTGAAACGCGAAAATATGCTTTTACTGTTTTATACCCGTGACACATTTAATACCACTTTACTCGTTTCAGTTTTTTACCCGTGACACATTTAATACCACTTTACTTGTTTCAGTTTTATACCCGTGACACATTTAATACCACTTTACTTGTTTCAGTTTTATATCCGTGACACATTTAATACCACTTTACTTGTTTCAGTTTTATATCCGTGACACATTTAATACCACTTTACTCGTTTCAGTTTTATACCCGTGACACATTTAATAACACTTTACTCGTTTCACTTTTATACCCGTGACATATTTAATACCACTTTACTCGTTTCAGTTTTATACCCGTGACACGTTTAATAACACTTTACTCGTTTTGTATATATTTTCTTTATTACGCGCCTCAAAATGAAGCCCCTAGACTTTATTTTGTGTTATTATGCACATAATGTGTTCAATAACACTTCTAAACTCCTGAAAACAGATAAAAACAACTATTACATATGTACTTTCTCAACAGCGTAGCAATGAGTGTAAAATGTGTTTAGTTAACAACTGTAAAAAATATGTTTGTTTGGAATTTTGCACAAACTTAAACAAGGTCTATTTGAGTAAAGTTGTCCTTAATGTTAAACTGATAAACTAGAGAAAATCTAGTAAAAGCACCAACTGCCAAGACGTAGGCTACTCTTGTTTGACCAAACAGTGAGAATCGATCGTCATTCTTATAGCGTACCAACGGCTTCAAAGAGCCCTCGGATCCACAGCACGAACACACTGACCACTAGGCCACGACTCCTCTAAAAACCACATATACCAGTATGCATGTTTTTCAGGTTGTTTTGCCAGATGTAAAAACGTTGCCTGATGAGGCCCAAAGCTCATTCGTTTTTAACAATACATTTACATACTGTTTTTATTTCGAGGGGTTTATATCGAGGAGCTGAGTTATAGTACAAAACCTCCCATGAAACGTAACATTTTCAAACAAGAAAAGACCAAAATAAACTTTTATGGGCTCATGACTTTTTTAATGACAGGGTTCCTAATAACATTCGCGTCAAACACACACACATACAAAAACAATACCATTAATTTGTGAATTAATCTCACAAACTAATACTGGACTCCCGCTTCTGCGTATTTTACATAAACAAATAATCTGTTCGTTTGTTGTAAAGCTCAAAGCTACATAATGGGTCTATCTGTACTCTGTCCTTCGCACATATCGAAACCAGATTTTTAACGTTATAGGCCCACTGAGAAAATAAAGAATGATTTTCCCTTTTTTTTCTATCGGTTTTATTACTGAGTGTTGTAACAGATAAAACCAAATATTACTCAATATGATTAAATATGCGGATCCCACCAGTAGTGAATGGCTTAAAACAAGTAAATAATTTACCGGTTGAATAATAGTTGGTAGCTCTACGAAAAAAAAGGCAGTTTGGTGCATTAACAGTTTAGAAAGAGGTGTTTAAAAAGTCAATTGTTATATGAACCCCATCGGTAATTCTTGGGTTAAGCTAAGACGAAATTGTTCACTCGAGTAGTACTAAAAGATTTTTAAGTTATATTTACTTTAATTTACTCCATAATTAATAACATACCCCCCTCCCATAACAAAAACAGAATTATAAATGTAATCTTTTTTTACATAGGAATAACTGATTTAAATACAGTGAACATTTTGAAATGCGTAGTGACCTTTAAGCCTCACAATGAGTTTTAAATTTATCAATATAATAAAACGCAAAAATAGTAGGTGTTAAAGTTTCCAGTAACATAAGGTGTGCAGCAATACCTAAGTGATTATTATGTATTATCTGTAAATAAAGAGAATGAAGAGAAAGTGAATCATTTTCGAATAACAAAATATAATTGAGCTTTAAACTATATATGTGTGTATAAATGTATATAAATGATGACTGAATATTTTTGCCATTTTTATTTGTCACTAGATGGCGGTAACAAGTTTAAATAAAGAAAACAACAACAAAATATCAAAATAGTTTCCTTGCAGAAGCATTCATTATCGTGTTTCTTTTTACTCTTGTCAGAGTGAGAGAGAGAGACTTTGTTTCGTCTGCCTCCATTTTAATTTATAGGAAAATGTTTCCGTTTTTCTTCAATTGCTATACCACTGAACTGTGTAATTGTAAATATTAAAATCAATAAGGTTTTTCATTATAATAAAAATCCCTACACTATATCACTGGTGCTGAAAAGCAGATTGGTTAGAATTGCGCTCAAAGCTACACTAGGGCTATCTGCGCTAGCCGTCCCTAATTTAGCAGTGAAAGATTAGATGGAAGGAGGCTAGTTATCACCACCTATCGCCAACTTTTGGGCTACTCTTTTTACCAACGATTAGTGAGAATGATTGTCACACTGTAACGTCCCCACGGCTGAAAGAGCAAGCATGTTTGGTGGGACGGGGGTTCGAACCCGCGACCCGCAGATTACGAGTCAAGCACCCTAACCACTTGCTAAAAAGCAGACGTCTCACTATTTTTGAGTCAAAAACTATTTTTCTCTTGATAAGTTGAAATTAATATGTAAATACATATATATATATATAAATACAAGAACCATTATGCGGGTAATTTGTAAACATTCAAGATTTAAGTTTAATAGTATTCAACAAGTAGGTTTACTTTAAAAGCTAATTGTTTTAAATTAGTCCCACTGTATTATTCAACAAAATAGCACTGTTTTTGTACGTGATTGTTTGGTCAATATACATAAATCTGTATTTTTACAATTTGTTTTGGAAGCACGAATGTCTGCGAAACGAATCTCAAACATTCAATTAAAGTGGTGATCTCGATCTTACATCTCATAGATTGACAGTCAGGGTTTCAAGGGTCTTACTTGAATTACTCCTCACGGTCTTTACAAATTATAGCTACGCCTGTAAAACTGTTTTCGTCACATGACAGTGTTGTGATGCGCACATGCATGTGTATCGATAGGGTTAGTTTCCTAACTATCTATCCAGCATATTATTCACAAGTACTTCCTCGCTGTTTGACTTCTTTTTTCTCTTGTCAAACCGTCTTTAATCATGCCCTTTTCTTCTACTTCTACATATCCGATCACAACAAGGCTTTGACATTTAGCTCGGCACTCGATAAAACAAAACACGGGAGATGTGTGGCAACATATATACCACAGAAAGGAGCTTGAGAAACAAATTTTAAATAATTTATCTCATTAATTTTACCTAAAAATACCACTTTCTTATCATTTCATTACATCTTCTCCAAGCGTTTATGTCTTGGTCCTTATGGTCATTTGGTTACCAGCTCAATTTCAAAGTTGCTAGAAATATCAAATAGACATTATTTCAGAAAATGTCTAATATATTAAATCGTCAAGAAATTAATGTCGCATTTTGGAACACTTGCATTAATCACCCCAAAAAAATCGTACATCACAAATAATAGTTAAACGAACCGCCTAAACGTCACGTTAGTGCAACCTATATAATGTGTAAAGTTTAGTATACTCTAATCCCTTATAGTGGTGACACACGACGAGACAAAGATTCGGCAAGTAATGCTGTTTGAATACAAGAAGGGAAGACAACGCCTCTGTAGCCACAAAGAATATCAAATACGTTTATGGAAATGTTTTGAACACGTTCGTAAGTGTCAACGATAGTTCAGCAAATTTTGTTCCGGTGACTTTGGCCTTAGAAACTGTGATGGCAGTGGCCGATATGTTGGAATTGATATTGATGCTCGGAAGACGCTTGTTGAGTCTAACCCAAGGCAACACACTCGTGAAATGGCCCTGAAACTGCATGTCTCTCGTGAAACAATACGTAAGCATCTAAGGAATATCGTAAAACTCCAAAAAGAAGGTGTTTGGGTGCCTCACGAACTCTCCGATTATCATCGTTTCCAACGTGTGAACGTTGCTTCGTCTCTTCTGGTGCGTAATGTGGGTGAACCATTTTTGGACAGAATTATCACCGGTGATGAAAAATGGATTCTCTATGCGAATATTAAACGCCACGAATAGTGGCTCAGTTCTAGACAAAAACCACTTCCGACCCCAAAACCTG